ATGACATTTAATTATTTAAAACTGTATTTAATTTATAATCAAAGTGTAACATAGTTTTATTATAGAAGTCTAACTATTATAAGTAATTTTTTGAGACAAAGGGAGTATATAGATTAAAAATCTTAATATATTTTATTCAATGCTTGTATTCATTTACAGTTTATATGTTACACAATTTTAAAATATATTTTTAAAATATGTTTCATACATATTTAGTTATATATCCAAAAAAATTATAAAATTTATTAATCTTTTAAAAACGAAAGCCCGATGTTGTTTTCAATAAAGTATTCTTCATTTTTTCTTTTATTACTTGTCAAAATAAAGATTTAATTTATATAAATTTTAGTACATGTACATGAATATTAAAACTAAAACTTTTCTCTCAAAAGAGATATTTTATAGTTACAAAAACATTTATCAAACACATCATATATCATTAGATAATTTAAAATAAATAATATTTTATTTTTTAGATGTCAAAAATTAAAAATATGCGAGCCCGTGCAAAGCGCGGGGTTAATACTAGTGATTTTGTAATTCACGCATTAGCGATTTAGTTCTGCTCGCAAAGAAGGGCTAAAATAATTTTAGTCAAATGAAAAAAAACTTTACTTGATGATAAAAGAGTAAATTTACTCATATTTTAATAAATATATTTTCAATCTTAAAATATTTGTACAATTTGAATTTTTCACCCAAATTAGATAAACATTAATTATCAATTAAACAAAAGTTAGAGTTTTTTTGTAAATAGTTCTTTATAACTAACTAGGGGTTTCCTTATTTAATTAATATCTATCAAATGTTATGTTGATAGTCTTTATTAATTAAATATCATTCCACATTTGGTCTTTCGTCTAGTTTTCCATCTCAGTGCTGTGAGACAAAAACTAAACATGAAATGATACACAATCAATAAGGATGGCAAATCAATTAACTAAAATGGTTATTTGGGTAGATACCGTTTAATTCATCATTAATATGGGTATACTTAGAGTTATTCTAGATACCCTTAATAATATACATTATTTTCATAATCATCAATATATTCATTTTTAATCATGATTCAATCATTCACAATAATCATTCTAATTAGTAGGTTTATCAATCATAATCATCCATAATAATCATTCATCATAATCATCAATTAACATAACATTCAAAGCAATAGCAATTAGCGGTCTAGCTTCGAGTGTTAACACCCTAGCTTACCGTCATGCATAACGTAAGGTCTTTTTAAATTTCAAATCATCATTTTTATTCCAAGAAATAATATTTATATGAATTTTAATTGATTGGTATGAAAAATAGGATTTTAGAGCTCAAAAATAGCTTTTTTGAAATATTTTCGGGTCAAATTTTCAGGGGATCGATCCAGCCCTCTAGATCGATCCATGCTATGGAAAAATACTCCCAGGGGATCGATCCAACCCCCTGGATCGATCCACCCTGCCCATTTTCAACTACTGTTCATTATCTTTTACCTCTCGCGTCCAATTTTGAAAATACCATTTTTAGTTACCGAACTTCAACTAAATTATATAGAAATATTCTCAAAGGTTCATAGATCATTTTGTTATCATTAATTCATAGTTTTAAAAACAATTTCATGGTTTATGATTCTTGGTTCTTTAAAAGCTTGTCAAACATAGAACTCAACCAAACGACCGTTTATGAACGTAGAAACGATATATACGAACATTCTAGTCACTAGATATATCTACGGACTTACCTCTAAGCTTAGGGGAGGTTTAGAGAATTTTTCGGCGAAACTTCCGGCAAGGATTCTGGCTAGCTCCGGTGACGGGAAGCTCTTTGGACATCACTACTTCACTCTCTATACTCACAGGTATCTTTTGGAAGAAGAAGGTGAAGAATGGTGAAGGTTGGAGAGGTTTATATAGTGGAGAGGAGAGGAAGAAGACATGGATGATGACCTCCTTCTTTTACTGTTTCGACGTCTCGATGGAGGGAGCAGTGATTTCTATGATTCCAAACACAAGTCCCTGATTGGGACTAATTTCAGTCCTAGTCGGGGTACACTTTCTGGTCCAACTTTTTCTGAATGGAAATCCGTTTGCACTGTTGCGACCAGACAATTAAACTCTATCCAACAATATAATTTTTATATTAATTTGTAATACTTTTTCCGACATCATATTTTTGAGTGGTTGACTTTGACAGAGTCAAAATTAATATATTTAGCCTTTACTCAAAAAGGTTCTTACATTCCATTCATATTATTTATTCTCATGATTCATTTCAATAAATTATTTCAAAATTCATATCATAAACAATTTTCTTCATTTATTCTTGATTTGGGTCTGTACTCACATTCCCAACTAAGGTCACACAATAAGTCAACATATTGAATTTATCTCTATGAGATTTACCCAGACTATGATATTGGGTATCAAAATATATATCATTTCGGTCCAAAGCCCAATAATAATTTATTTTAATCTAAACAAATTTGTTTATTTGAATAATAATTCAATATAACTGTTAGGGTATATTTTGGGGCGTTACATGTTACGTGGCCCGCCTCGCCTGGTCACTGCTATTTGTAAACTCCTATACGGAATTAACCCAGGCCCAGACCCCGAAGGCTCAATATCCCATCACTTATTACTCTTCATTATCCTTTCTTACTAATATTTTTTATTATCTACTTTTTAATTGCTTTGTTACATAATTTATATTTATTGCTTTTTTTTACTTTTTATAGTTTGAATTTTGATTTACTACTTATTATTTTTTGTCAATTTTTATTAATAGATAAATATTTTTATTTAATTTATATATGTTTTAAAGTAAAAATAACGAATATTGTAAAATAAATTTAAAGGTGAGGCGAGAAGGTAATAAGACTAATAACATTGTAGGTGTTTTAGTCTAGTGCAGAAAAAGAAGAGAATATTAACGCAACAGTTGGGGGGCGAGATTCCACCAATGGTAAATGCTCTCAGAGATATTGGTTCTAATATATCGTGATATCAGAATGTTGTGTTTGGTGAACGAATGAGATATGAGTTCTGATATCTTGAGATATGAGAATTCTTTTTTGGTGTCTGGCGAAGTTAAAAGAGATATCGAATTTGATATTTGTAAATATCATAAATAATCTAAATGGAGGGTTATGATATCTCCTGAGTTTTGGAGATGTCAATATGGGGTTTTTATATCTCCTTCAAGCATTGACCATTTTCCACCACCAGCTGCCACTGTCACCGCCAACCACCCTCGTTGTCGACCACCCTCTCCTATCCCAAATTAAATCACGATTTTAAATCTCTCCAAATAACTTCATTTCAAATTTCAAAACTCATTCCATTTCTCTCGAATATTTTAAAATAAATTGAGAGGTGAGGCAAGAGAGCTATAACATTACAAGTATTTTGCCCTGTTGTAATTAAAGGTAGCAATCAGATTGGTTCTGGTTTGGAAAAATTCGGTTCGGATATCTTTCAGATATATGTTATAATTCGTTTGGTTTAATTTTGATTCAGTTTAACTTCGGTTTCATACATTTTTTGGTTCCGGTTTGGTTTTGGGTCGATTCAGATGTCAATCGGTTTGGATCGATTTCGGATCAATTGGTTTTGGTTCAGATATATTTCGATTCGTGTATATTTCAGTTTCGAATATATTTGCATATATGCAATTTTTGAATTAAAACAATCTATCATCAATTCATCACTTCATATTATTTTATACTTCCTTCGTCCTACATATATTCTATTTTTATCTTTTTGGTCATCTTTTATTAGTTTGAATTACGGATTATGAAAGAAAATGTATTTAGTTCTGATATAAAACTAATATAATTAGATTACCAAATCACACACATATGGTTAAAATATGTTAAAACTGAGTGAAGTTGAATGTAATTAGATAAAATTTGAGTGAAATTAAATGTAATTCAAAGCACATATTTAGCCAACCATACAATTGCATAAGAGTTGGTGAAAAAATGTTTTTAAATGTGCTTTAGTTTGTATGAATTTTAACTAACATTTTTTATGAAAGTTGTAATGTTTATTTTTATACCAATTTATAAAAAAATTAAAACATATGAATGTTTACATTTTTTAGATATGGCGATTCAATTCGGACATAGGAAGTAAGTAGTATTATTTAGTATATAACTAGTTCATATGGTAAAATAAAAATCTAAAATCAAATGTACTTGTTCACTAACGTACATAAATATTATATGTTTATTGTCAGGAAAAATCAATTTCGGATATAATCAATTTCAGATATTATCGATTTTGCATTTTATACGTTTTGGATCTTACCGGTTTTGGGTCTTATCGGTTTCGGATTTAACCAGTTTCGGATCTAATTAGTTAGATCTAATAGGTTTTGGTTTTGATGGGAAATAATACGTGGTTCGGCCCACATTTTCCAATTATTTACAAAGAACAATCAAATTGGGCCTGTTTAATAAAATGGAGGAATAAGAGAATATTCCTCCGTAGATGCTTCCACTCTCTCCTATAAAAGAGAGGGTTGCCCCTAATTGTTGAGGAGGCCAATCAAACTCCTTCCCTGCCCATTTACTCACTCTCTCTCTAGAAAGCATTAGTGTGTATATTTTCTTCTTTTTCAAGAGCTCAGATATTCCATTAATGGCTTTCGTGCCCAATTCATGTACCGTGCACACACCCCTGATATTAATAAAAATCTCATGTTGGCAAGGTACCGCCAAAAAAGGCTCGTGGTTTTCTCCCGATTTGGGTTTCCACGTCGAAATTTCTGTTTCTATATTTTGGTGTATTTTTTAGACTAGTTTATCGTTTTTGCCTGGCTAAAAACGATATAGCGGTTGATAATTTACACCGTCATTTTGGCGCCACCCGTGGGACCCTAGCAAAAAGCTGTGTTCTACTACCCTTCCCAGCCTCACAATCATGTCCGCCGGAGTAAAAAATAAGAGGGGAGAGTAATAAAAAAGAGAAAGGTTACTTCACTTGTGTTAAAAAAAGAGAGAAAAAGAAAACAACATAGAAAAAAGAAAGACTTGATGTGTGTCAGTGCAGTCTTTCCTTCTTTATTACTCTAGAATCGTCGGCGCCACTGCTGCTAAGGCATGCCCTCACCACCTATTGAGGTTTGAATGGTACTACGACTGTTTTTTGGATGAAGCCTTCTAGATTTACTCATTGCTGGTGAAGTGCGGGATTGCCGCCGCCGCCAAACTCAATCGACGGGATTGCCGCCACCGTCGAACTCAATCATCGTTGGTGGTTGGAGCCATTCACCGCCGTCCACATCTATCGGTGGGAGATGAAGTTATCATCGATGTTGATTGATTGTAAATCTTCACTGTCAAAGCCGCTTGGCTATGAAATCTGCCACCGGCAATGGATCCCATCCATCCTCAATTGAAATCAACTTCATCGTGGGAAGAGATTACTTGTCATTTAGACGAAGATCTATCATCGGCTCTAGCGGGATATCCATGCACCCACACTCCCATTGAGGTCCGCTGTTGTGGACGCCGCTAGTGCTGTCGTCGCCACTGCTTAGACTTGCCGCCGCCGCTGGTCTTGAGACTTGCCGCCACCTACGAACTGCGTTGAGGGGGTTGGATCTATATGTTGCAATAGAAATCAACTACCGCCACCGCCAACTAGCTTTTGTTTGCCACCTAGAATTCCTGCATGCATCCACAAATGCAAGGGTGCTCAAACACTTGTTGGTCACCATTTGAATTTGTGACCACAGAAGCCGCCGAATATACATGAACCTGCACTCCCGTTGAGGTCCGCCGTCGTTACCACGGAAGCCAACAACTATCGCAGTCATTGCTGAAACAACCGCTCTGCAGCGACGTTATTGAGGCCAGCCACCACTCCTGCGCCGATGTCATTGATGTCCAGAGGTCTCGAACCTCTAAAATTGTTACAGATTTGCTCCGTGGTTGATGAAATCTACCCCGTGGTTGCATCAAAGCCTGACGCCGGAAAGGTACTAAACTACTGGAGATGACTTTCATCCCATTTGGACTCATGCGAATGGATCTATCTAGATGAGAATCGGGAAGAGACTGAGTGTTCTATTTTTCTACATATATTGGATGTGAGTTTATCTTGGATGTTTGTGTCCACGGTAGATCAAGATCACATGGTTCTACTGTGCTAGAAAAGAGTATGGAGTGCATGATGGGCTTTGCTCTTCGCATCTTTTCTCTTGTCCTCACAACAGGATTTGATCAAGATAAGAAGGATGTGGCCATACTTGGTCATCTCAAACAAGAAAAAAGGGAAAGAGATACGAAAGTTGTCAGAGGATAATGCAAGTGGCGGGGTCCACTAATGTCATGACTTTTGGAATACTTCTATGGAAGCACTCAGGACAAAGCTCACATGTTGCTAGACCCCACTGCATCAATTACAATATATTTTCAAGAAAAAAAGATTCCACATGTATACATCTTGGAGAATTTCGGAAGGAAGACTGAGACACAGGCCTGAACCTGGCACACTGGTTACTACACTAGTCTTGCTCAGTATAAAATAAAAAAATATAAACCTGGAAGAGAGGCCTTGGATAAGGGGTATGCCTGCAAAATGGCTGGACCTGGAAGAGGGTTCGAACCGTACTTACACGGGCTCACGAAGTTTGACCGGTATCGGGGAGTCAGCCAAAACCGTCAAACTGATTGGGGACTAAAAGATGCCCATTAAAAGAAATAGAAAAGGATCATCCACCGCGATGCATCCTACTCCGATCGGGTTGGATTCCCCCTTCTCAAGGAAGACTTGAACGGGGGGTGGTGAGCTAAGGCCTTCCCGGGATACTAAATATCAAAGGGCCATTAAAAGACTTAATCACCATGAAGAGGGGCCCTGGAAGAAGGGTGCATTTCGGGCCTTGGAGATGGCTCGAAACCATCCAACATGGTTAATTCTCCAATGTTGATCTGGACCGGCCAGCAACATTATCTTATAGGAAGACTGAGACACAGGCCCGGCCGGGCACACTGGTTACGACATCGGTCTTGCTCAGTATAATAAAGAAAATATGTGACCCAGTCGAATTGGTACACTGGTCTCACACCGATCTTGCACATATTTTCCAACGAGCCTGAGCCCAATCAAATTGGGTACGTCGGTTGCATATCAGTTTCAACAAAAAGTGAGCTGAGCTCATATCGGGGACACCTGATTCATTTTAAGATTATCGAAGATGGTCTCCGCAAGACATGAAGATATTTACATCAGTCAGTCGGGCTAACACTGATCTTCAATAAAGCTACTGCATCGTATTCAATTCTTAACTAACGTCATTGTCATCAGTATACTAATGTCGTCACGCATCGTTTGCTTAACTCATATTAAAACCGGCCTCGATGAAATAACTTCTTGAAGCACTGTTACTTCATCGAATTAACATCGCTCGCGTTACGATAGTTATCCGCGCGTATTTTAATCACCCTAACATCGAGCTCCTCGGTAAAGATAATAATTATTTGAGCACGACATAGGCCAATCAAAAAATTAAAATATATTGTACGTATTATTTTTTGCAGGAAAAACATTTGATTCAAGAAATTAGAGAATTAATGAAGACTCGGAGGACTAAGAATATCAACCGGTCAAGAATGGAAAGTAAGAAAAATGTAGATAGCACTCGGAGGACTTGTTTACTTTTTTAAGTTGATGATTCTTACAACTTAAAAAAGTGGAGGTCTTCTTGATGGGAAATAATACGTGGCTCGGCCCACATTTCCCAATTATTTACGAAGAACAGTCAAACCGGACATGTTTAATAAAATGGAGGAATAAGAGAATATTCCTCCGTAGATGCTTCCACTCTCCTATAAAAGAGAGGGTTGCCCCTAATTGTTGAGGAGGTCAATCAAACTCCTTTCCTGCCCATTTACTCTCTCTCTGTAGAAAGCATTGGCGTGTATATTTTCTTCTTCAAGAGCTCAAATGCTCCATTAATGGCTTTCATGCCCAATTCATGTACCGTGTACACACCCTCGATATTAATAAAAATCCTCCGTTGGCAGGGTACTGTCAAAAAAGGCCCGTGGTTTTTTTTCGATTTGGGTTTCCACGTCAAAATTCTTGTTTCTATGTTTTGGTGTATTTTTTAGACTAGTTTATCGTTTTTGCCCGGCTAAAAACGATATACTGGTCGATAATTTACACCATCAGGTTTTAAATCAAGTATGGATATATTTAGTTTGGTTTTGGTTCGGTTTGAATCATTTCGGTTATAAACCGGATTTATTTTTTGGATCATTTTGATTTTGATTTCAAGTTATTCAGTATGGATAATCGGTTTCAGATCTGTTGTTTTGTCAGGTCTAGTTGTAATAAAAGAGAAAAATGATGATGTGACAATGAGAGGGGTTAAGGGAGAGTTCGCCCCCATGGTAAATGCTATAATTGATTTTCCTTGGATGTACAACGTACTCCTTTCGTCTATTATTTTTTTCACTTTTCTTTTTGGATTGTGGGCAAATTTCCTTCTTATTTATTATTTTGGCAAACAACTTTTATTGAATGTATTATCATATCCTACTTTTTATCTACACCATATTACATGGTTAAACACAAAAAAGTCTTTAAATTTTTTACTTCTTAATTTTTTTGTATCAATTAAAATAAGAGAGAAATGTTTGACACATCCACTCAGACACTGCACTAAACATTGGCAGTACAATAGCATAGCCGAATAAATTTGTTTTTGGGAAATGGTCAATTCTCAGGTTGAGAAAGACACCGTTTCTGTCGTTCTCGACCGCCACGCCGACTGCGGAGGTCACACTCATTTCAAAATGTGGTCCATTTCATTCCGACGCATGATCCTCGACGCCGTACGCTGCGGCGGCAGTGCGCGATTCAAGCATTCAGATGCCGGCCCCGATTCCACGACGGAGTGGAAGCTCAACAGCCGCCATCAGAGTCAAAGATCCGAATACGGATCAAAAGTCTCTGGATCCGACAAGCTCTCAGACCTACTCCGGCTACCGGAGAACTCAGATGAAGACGAGGCGGAGTGGGTGCGTAGAAAGGAAGACGCCCTGGAACGGCTTAAATTTGTGACGAAACTGTTGCAGAGCAGCGAAGCTGACGGCGTATTGCAGGGAGCCAAGGAAGTGAGGATTCTAACAAGGGATGATCCGGAGGCCCGGACAACTCTCGCAATGTTAGGCGCCATTCCGCCGTTGATAGCGCTTCTCGACTCGGACGACTCGTCTTCACTCATTGCCGCCCTCTATGCTTTGCTCAATTTGGCGATTGGCAATGACTCGTAAGTTTCTTTCGCTCTCTTTCGCCCTTCTTAATTCATGTATTTCTCCTACCAAATTATCGTTTTCTTTATTGCAATACACATTATTTGCCCTTTTTTGCGTTCTCTCTGTTGTTCGTTTTCGTATCTAATTGAGAAATGTGTTGGATTTCAGACAGTACTAATCCTCAAAATCTTTCTAGTAACATTTGTTTTCTTCAAATGGGAGTTTCTGAAATATCCAGATCTGGTAAGAGGTGTGTGAATTTAAAGTTGAGCTTTGGGGTGCTCCCATTTTGTTTTGAGCTTCCAAATGATGGGTATTTCCTTTGGCGAGAGAGTATTATTTTGCCAGGATGGGTTGATTTTGTCCTACTTCCAAATGTATCTGTTGTTGTCTGTATGTATACTTCAATTGATATTTTCTCCCTTTTATGTTCTTGTTTCATGTTGCACCAGTATATTCTCTAGCTATGCAAGTGATTACCACTAACATACGGAGTATTTTTTGCAGAAACAAAGCTGCGATCGTAAAAGCTGGAGCTGTTCATAAGATGTTAAATTGTATTGAATCTTCAAATTGTTTTGCAAAGCCAGCAGTTATTGAAGCGATTGTTGCCAATTTTCTTGGTCTGAGTGCTTTAGATGCAAACAAGCCAATCATTGGTTCCTCGGGTGCAATTCCCCTCTTGTTGAAAGTTCTAAAAGATTTGGATGAAACAAACAGTCCTCAAGCTATTCAGGACTCGCTTCGAGCCCTATACAATCTTTCAATCTCATCAATCAACATCTTCCAAATCATAGAGACTGATCTAGTGCCATTTATCATTTCCAAGTTGGGAGATATGGAAGTAAGTGATAGGATACTCTCAATTCTTAGCAATATAGTTCCAATAGCAGAAGGTCGGAAGGCAATTAGTGTAGTTCCTGATGTGTTTCCCATATTGGTTGATGTCTTGAACTGGACTGATTCCCCAGGTTGCCAAGAGAAGGCATCATACATTTTGATGGTAATGGCACATAAGTCATATGCAGATCGACAGGCCATGCTTGAGACAGGAATTGTTTCCTCCTTGCTTGAATTAACACTTCTAGGCAGTACATTGGCACAAAAAAGGGCTTCGAGACTATTGGAGTGCTTGAGGGTTGACAAAGGAAAGAACGTGTCACAAAACTTGGGTGATGTGAATGCAACATTATCTGCGCCACAACCATCCACATATTTAAGTCATCAACTAAAAAATGGGTTGGGAGACGAAAACAGTATGATCAGTGAAGAGAAAAAAGCCGTCAATCAATTAGTTCAACAGAGCTTGCAGAATAACATGAAGAAAATAGTGAAGAGGGCTAATCTGCCTCCAGATTTTGTTCCCTCGGATAATTTGAAGTCGCTCACATCGAGTTCAATGTCTAAGAGCTTGCCATTTTGAAAGAACATGAGACCCTTGTGGAGGAGGGAGTTGTTCCCTGCTATAGTGGAAAGAGTTATCTTTTGTATTGGTTGCTCTCAAAGGTTTGTGCAAACTATGCCTGATATGGTAAACTTCTAAGTAGTTAGTTGAATTTCTCCTAGTTTGATGGTGTGCTTGATTTTGGCCGCATATAGCATGATGGAAAGTTTGGAAACTAGTGCCTTTTCTCTTGAACCTAGGGAAAAATGAAAAATGCTAAATGTACCTCAATTTTGACCCCACCTTATAGACATTCACATACATTTTTGACTGTTCCGTATTTATGAATGTCTGTAAGAAGAGTGAGGTGAAAAGTGGTGTCAAATTTAGGGTCTCCCAAGCATTACTCATAGTTAAATGATATATGATTAAAACTGGGCTGGTCCTTCTAAAATGAGGCCTTACGTGAATTTTTTAGAATACATGTTTCCTTGTTTTTTTTATGGAGTTCTTTTGACATCACTCACTAATGTCATAATATGACATTAATTCAATTGGAACATCTATGGTGCCTCATTTGTAAAACTAATTGTTCTTATTCTCCCTAACCCCCGGTAAACTCCCCGGCTTGGTTCGTCCCTAATGCACCCTTGCACCTCCTCCAATTGTACTTCCTAAATCTGGTTGACTTTGGGTCAAAATTTGATCTTAAAGTCAACAAAATTGGGAAAATGCAATTGGAGGGAGTGTAGGGTGCATTAGAGACGAGCCAGGGTGAGGTGTTTACCTGGACAGGAATTATCAATTTTGCGAGCGGCAATTTGCAGTTGCTTGATGTCATATTTTGAGATGTCATGTTATGACATTAAGTTTTAACATCAAAAAAACCTTGATATTTTATTTTAAAAGAATAACTTAAATAAGAATATAGTATATGGAAAGAACTAAAATATGACATATAGGCTTTTATTTTAAAATAGGACCTATAAATATCTACAATGTTAATATATAATACAAAAACATACTATAGAATACTAATATACAATGTTATACTATCATAATATAATAGTCTTATTTTAGAGATAAAAACATGTCAATCTTCTTTTGAGCATAAGAATTATGTTTTGTTTCAATATTAGGCAATTTATTTTATTTTATTTTGAGATGCTTCATTCTTAAAAATGAGAATTATCAAATACATTTAATGTTTGAATCAACCTCTTTTACTCTTATTACCTTCGTCCCTGAATATTTGTCCAGTTTTGAATTTTTACGATCAACTATTTCAACTTTTGACCTATAATTAAATAAAATATATTATATATTAATTAGATAAATAATATTTTAAAATTATTTGATATAATAAATCTAATAAAGCTATTTTTGTATCAATAAAGCTATTTGATAATAAATCTAATAAAGCTATTTGATATAGTAAATCTAATAAAGCTGTTTTAAAATCATTTTTATTTAATTTAAGGTTAAAGTTTACAATTTTTTACCGTAAAAAGTTAAAAGTGGACAAAATACTTAGGAACGGGGAGAGTATTTAACATGAGAATTATGTCTATTGGATTAGATGAAGAGAACATGACTTAAATGTTGTATCTTAGCATGAGTTTTCAACATATATGGAGTACTCTATCTTCTTATCTTTTTTCAAACAAATATGCTAGAGTCACAAATATATGGTTCACAAACTTCACAAACTTGTCTTTTTCGGATTTTAAATTAGAATATCATTAATTATTTGAGTGTATCTTATTTTTAGAAAAGTGTTAAAAAGGCAAATTTGTAAATTTTGTGAACTGTTTGTTTGTGACTCTAGCATTACTAATAAAGAAATAATATTTACCTTTTCTTTAATTGCTATTGACACTCTAAATTGCTCCGTATATTATTTCATTATCAAAAACTAGAATAGAAATATGATTTTCCAAAATTACTCTATATAATTGTTCTAATTTAATGGATGCATGTGTACGTGTCAAATTAATTATGAGTATGAGATTTTTCTTTTCATGATGCTTTAAAATTATTTTTACATTTAAAATTTTAATTAAGAATATATAGGGTTATATCGGAAGGCATGGTCGAACATTTTTTAGGGCATATTATATTTTAACCCAGTGTTGACTCTCCTTTTTTTATTGATTTGGATTCTTCTTAACATATTTGAAATCTAACCTTAAAGACATATGTCAAGTATATTTCGATATATTTATTTTGACAATTTATGCAGTAATTTAAAGAAGAGTAAGGATAATCATTTTCATTATTTTTATGGGGTGTATTTTTTATCATAACGATATACATAATGAGTATATCGTATAACAAACTTGATGTTATTTCCACAACCTTAGAAATGATCAGTTCTATTTGTAAAGTTGACTAATCCTTGCTCTGACTATAGACGTGGATGTCATAAATGACTACATGACATCCTTCATAAATATTGTTGGAAGGAAATAATTATGTGAGCTCTAATACTTTGTGTAAGCCCAGTTCAAATACATGTTTTTTATTAGACTTGCATTCTCCTAATTTTTCAACAACATACGCGCATTTGGAGTGTCAAATCATGAACTCAAGTTAAAGATCAAAACACATATACTGTTGTTGGAAATATTAACGTATCAATGAATTTGAGCAATGGAACAATATTGATTATAGCGCGATTGAAGAGTCATCTTATTCAATGGATTTTCATGACAGAAAAATGTAAGCCATGAAGTTCTTATGCAAATGTTGTGTCTTACACTGTTAGAAATAAGAATTCCATTTAAGTTTCAATGAAATATATTCCCAATTATGATTTGTATGCAATGAGTGTTCACAAAAGTCAACGCCTAATCCATGCACATTGAACTTTTTTCTTAAAAAATGAATAATTAGTCGTGAACAATTATATGTTATTATTTCATGTGTCACAAATCACAATAGGTTAAAAATCATCCGGTATCCGACCGAACTACAAATGTAGGATATAAAGTTTTTTCAAAATGTATAAAATGTCCATTGAAAACTATTATACTCCATAATTTATATTTCCATATTATTAGCAATATAAGAGTATCTTTTTTTATCATTCATAATATATACTAATGAATTAACATTTTACATATATCTTATAAAGCTATTATTTTATTATTTTATGTATGCAATCTCAAATTTTTTACTAAATAATTAGCCCGTGCAACGCATGGCTACGAGTCTAGTCAGATCCAATCATATCAAAACTTCAAAAAATCAGATTAGATTAGACAAATGGAACGCAACCTTAAGCTAACTAGGGTTGTGTTTGGTTGGAGATAAAATATTTTTTTGAAGAATATTTTCCAAAGGAAAATAATTCCAAGAAAAATTATTCTTCAATCATATAATTCATTGTTTGGTAGGAAAAAAATTTCATTCCACTAATATCACCAAACATATGAAAATGGAATCAAAATTTTTCTGGAAAATGTTTTACGCCCAACCAAACACACCATACATCTCATTTTATCTAATCTTAGGAAGGTGTATTCAATTCAGAGAGAGAGAGAGAGAATATACAATTTGGGATGCCATCAAGGATACCTCGGGCTTAGATGAGGATACCCAGTTTAAGGCAGTTGAGTGGCTTGATAGCAAAGGTAAAAAAGATGTCTTCTTGAAAATGTCACCTGAAGAACGGTTAAGTTGGATACATCACAAGATGAGAGGATAAAATGAGAAGATATATTAGGATGAATGAAATGATTATGTAACTTTATTTTAAACTTGTTATGTGACTTTATTTTGATTGAGAGTTTATAGTACTTGTGGTTTATTAAATTGTTTTAGACTACTTTGGTTTATTAAGTTGTTTTAAAATATATTTGGTTTAATATCTTCTTAAGGTTAAGGAGAAAAATAGAAGTAAAACATTGATAAAATCCCAAAATAGGAGTTGAAAGATAAAAGCCCAAAATAGGAGTAATCACCCTTAGCCATTAAGCATCCCATCTTTACAAAATAAAAAACTCTGAAGTTGAAAGCAAAACTTTAATACTCTGTAACAAAAAGCATGAGTTCTTTAATGCTTCGTAACAAAACTTTAACTCTGCAATAGCTAATAGCAAACAAAATATAATATTAATCTCCCATTTTCATTCTAAATAAAACTAAATACATTTACAAATTCAAAAAAAAAATCCTAAATTAACTACCGTCTCCACCACCACACTCTCGCTGCCATCTTCATTACGTGTTGCCCACTGCATCTCTATCGCATGCCATTGTCACTTGAATCTCCGCTGTTGGCTTACTCCGCTCACACCAGGATGATGTGCCACCGCGGCAAAAATCCAACATTGTTGTCCTTTATTTTTCACCGACATCGACAACATCACCACTCTACCACCATCACACCCTGCACAGTCTCCGTCGCAGTGCCACATTGATAACAATGAAGGTATAATAATCCCAAACATGGCCACATATAATATCACATATGGTAATACATAATGCCGCAAATTTCCATATAATGTCACATATGGTAATGTACGATGCCACAGATTACCATATATAATGTCACTGTTGCAAATTTAAAATGTCAAACAAATGAATAATGTCAAACTCAAGCACTGACCTGCAATAATACTCCTAGTTGAAAGGAGTTGTGGCAGAAGGGGAATCGGCCGAAGGGGTGATTTTTTTCCCTTTATGGATTGAGTAGGGCGCATGGGAATAGGCAGGTTTTTTTTCCTATTTAATTACTCCTATTTAGAGGAGTTTAAGTTTGAGCTCCTACTTTGAGGATATAACATATGTTTTACTCCTATTTGGAGGTTTTCTTATCTTCTTATGGTACAAATGTACTCGTATTGTAGTTTTGTATTATGTATGAAAAGTTTTTATTTAAAACAAATTATGCTTTTTCCTCGTGTGTTTTTATTTCCCTTCAATCAACTTCTATTTCACGTATGTCAATAAATTTATAATTATAATAATGTGTAAAAAATTAATTTTTTTAATACTATTTTTTAAGTTTTTGATCAATTTCAAAAGTATAATCAATGTTAGAGTAATGTATGAATTTTTATAATAATTCTAATATTTATATAAATAATCTATGGATTATAAATAATTTATTAGAATTCTATAAAATCGTGTTGATAAAATACAGTAAAATCTATTTAATTTTGCA